TGTCAACCCGTGCGCCGACGCGCGCGGATGTGCCGATCACATCTCAGCTGGCTGGTTGGGGGGTTTCATCACCGCTGAACTCTGCACCCCGTCTCCGCCGCCGTCACTGTCGCGGCCACCACCATCGCTCTTGCGCTCGCCCGCGCTCTCGCCCTACGTCATGTTGCCGCTCCCACCTTGCTCTCTACTCCTCCGCCTTCTCTCCGCCACCCTGCGCCCCGCGCAGGTGGCGAAGCTGGTGGACGTGGGGCCGAGTGGTGCCTAGAAGCTGGACGCTTTAGAAACACTCTCTTTCTTTCTCGCTCTCTCCCTGACTCCCTTCTCACCTCCTCCCCCCCTTCTATTCTCCCCCCTCCCCTCCCCGCGCAGGAGCCGAAGCTAGTGGTCGTGGGGCCCAGCGACGCCGTGTGCTCTGTCAGCTGGGCGCTTCAAAAGCACTCCCTTTCCCTTTTCCTTCCCCTCGTGCGCAACCCCTCTTCCGCGTGTGCCCCCCTTGCTCCCGTCTCCCTCTGCGCGCAGGTGACGAAGCTGGTAGACGTGGGTCCCAGCGACGCCGTGTGCTCCGTCAGCTGGACGCAGCGCGGCACGCTATTAGCCGTCGGGACCAACAACGGCCACGTGCAGGTGCGTGGAAGCGGTGTGTTGGGCACGTGCCCGCTGGTCCTTTATTCCCTCATCCTGCCTCCTCCCGCTTCTGCCCCCCCTCTTTTCTCTTCCGCACCCCCCTCGCCCCTCATTCCGCACCCCCCTCGCCCCTCATTCCGCACCCCCCTCGCCCCTCATTCCGCACCCCCCTCGCCCCTCATTCCACCCACCCTTTGTTCCTCCTTCGCTTCCTCCCCAGGTGTGGGACGTGGTGAAGGGGCGTCGGGTGCGGTCCATGGGCGGGCACAGGGTGCGCGTGGGAGCCATGGCGTGGGCAGCGAACGTGCTCGCCACGGGCAGCCGCGACCGCAGCGTGCTGCAGCGGGACGTGCGCTCGCCCGTTGACTTTGTAGCTCGACTCACGGCGCACAGGAGTGAAGTGTGCGGATTGAAATGGTCACCTGACGACAGAGAGCTGGCTTCTGGGGGCAATGACAACCAGGTGAGGCCGGGGCAGGGACGGGGGCATTAGCAGGGGCGGAGGCAGGAGCAGCCGCGACCGCAGCGTGCTGCAGAGGGACGTGCGCTCTCCCGTGGACTTTGTTGCTCGGTTGACAGCACACAGGTGCGAAGTGTGCGGGCTCAAGTGGTCTCCTGACGACAGAGAGCTGGCTTCTGGAGGCAATGACAATCAGGTGAGGCAGGTGCAGGGCAGAAGCGGGGCCAGGGGCGCGGGCAGGGGGAGCAGAGACTGCAGCGTGCTGCAGAGGGACGTGCGCTCGCCCGTGGACTTTGTAGCTTGATTGACGGCACACAGGAGCGAGGTGTGCGGGCTCCTCTGCTCTTCTGCACCGCTTCTCGTTTCTCTCCTCTTATTACCTCCTCTCACTCCTCTCCTACATGCTAACCTCTCCTCCCTCTCCTCTCCTCTGCCATCCCCTCCCCTCTCTCCCTCCCGTCCCTACTCCTCTTCTCCCAAACCCCCTTCTCACAGCTTCTAATCTGAAGTGGGCTGATATTTCAGCAGCCAGTGGTGCGATTCACACAGCACCAGGCGGGCCATTGCCCACCAGCACGCTTCTTGTACCACCCCTCAACGCGCACCTCCCTTGCCTCCCTTCCCACCCCCTGTCCCTCCATTCACTCCCTCTTACAGCTCCTGATATGGAGTGTGCTGACCTCACAGCAGCCAGTGGTGCGATTCACGCAGCACCAGGCGGCAGTGAAGGCCATCGCCTGGTCACCGCATCAGCATGGTCTGCTTGCCTCAGGGGGTGGCACGGCTGACCGCTGCATTCGCTTCTGGAACACTGCCACTGCCACACCTCTTTCATGGGTCGACACTGGTAGCCAGGTGGGCATCTCCCTTACACCCTCGTGAGTGCTTTCGAACCCTTTCGACCGCTCTCAATCGCTGCATTCGCTTCTGGAACACCGCCACTGCCACTCCTCTTTCATGGGTCGACACTGGTAGCCAGGTGGGCATCTCCCTTACACCCTCGTGAGTGCTTTCGAACCCTTTCGACCGCTCTCAATCGCTGCATTCGCTTCTGGAACATCGCCACTGCCACTCCTCTTTCATGGGTCGATACTGGCAGCCAGGTGGGCATTCCCTCTGTCCCTTTTTGTTCATTCGCTCTCTCAACCACTCTTGATCGCTGCATTCGCTTCTGGAACACTGCCTCTGCCACACCTCTTTCATGGGTCGATACTGGTAGTCAGGTGGGAGACTCTCTCTCATTTCCGCTTGACCGCTCTTAACCGTTCTTGACCGGTGCATCCGCTTCTGGAAACCATCACATGCCCTTGTCATGTATCGACACTGGCAGGCACCTCTGAGAGGAGCAAGAGAGGGAATAGCGTTGGAATTTGCTGAATGCAAACAGTGGTACACGAACTTTCTGTCAACTCAAACAAACAGTGTGATTGCACTGGAGTTTGCAGAATGCGAAGGGTGCACACAGGCATGCGAAACAGCGATTGACAGGATCTCTCTTTTCCGCGATGTTGCCACATGGCTGTGTTCCCTCTCTGCGTTGTGCCTTGCATTCTTGCCCTCCCCTCTACCCATCAACACTACTCTCCACCCATTGGCACTCCCCTGTAACCATCGACACTCCCTTCCACCCATTGGCATGCCCTTCTCAACAGCCCCTCCCTCTGTTGCCACATGGATGCATGCATGTGTGTGCATATGTGTGCATGTGTGAGAATGTGCGTGCATGTGTGTGCATGTGTGTGCATGTGTGAGAATGTGCATGCATGTGTGTGCAAGTGTGTGCATGTGTGAGAATGTGCGTGCATGTGTGTGCATGTGTGTGCATGTGTGTGTGTGTGCATGGGTGTGTGTCATTCCTATGGGTGCCTTGATGTGTTTCTGTGCATGGGTGCATGCACGTCTACAGGTGTGCAACCTGCTCTGGTCACGCAATGCCAACGAGCTGGCCAGCACACATGGCTACTCGCAGAACCAAGTCGTTGTTTGGAAATACCCCTCCATGGCCAAGGTAGTTACCCTTTGAGGCAGAAATTGTCACCCTTCATGCAGACTGAACATGCCTTGATGCCACCTGCTATGGTTGAAATTTGAATTTCTGCTGAACCGTGGACAGTTCTTTTGTGCCTGCCCCCTTGTTCCCTTGTTGAGGGAAGGAAGCTTCAGAGAGATAACCTATTGGCCCTTCTGGCAGCGTACTTGCCTCATCTTCTCCTTACCCTCTGTGTTTTGTCGTTTTCTGCCAGTTGGCCACTCTAACCGGCCACACCATGCGGGTGCTCTTCCTCGCTGTGTCGCCGGACGGCCAGGTGCGTCTTTTAGCTGTCAGGTCTAGTGGCTAAGTTTGTCTGGTGAAAGCGCATAGCATTTCGCAATGTGCATAATCTTGACTTTAAGGCTCTTGGTTTGACACACAGGGCACATTGGTGCTTGCCATATGAGCCAATCACAGTGAGGTCATATATCCAGTCTTTTAACTACTCTAGTTCTGCATTGTTTGCATTGTTATCCTTTTCCCTCCCTATTTCACGCCCATTACGATCACTTTACAATCCAGCCATCTTTCCTTTTTATCCCGTACTATCACAGACCATTGTAACAGGAGCAGGCGATGAGACCCTTCGGTTCTGGAATGTCTTCCCGGGCACCAAGTCGCAGGTATGCCACTCTGCCCCTCACTTTCCTTTCTTCTCGATGCAAGTGCGTCTTAGATTCAGGTGGGTCTCAGGTGGGTGGACATGTGTGGTTCAGTACTGGCATGATTCACACGCATACACCTTGCTGTTGCCAGCCCTATTCTTGCCATCCCCTGTCTGTTCTCCACCTCTCTCTCCCCTCCTCTCCTGCCCTCTCCACCCCTCTCCATCCTTCTCCACCCCTCTCAGGGCCCCCCAACCTCGTCCATGCTGGCATCAGAGCGCAGCCACATCCGATGACGGCCCATCCGCACCCCAGCTGGCTACTTCAACCCTAAACCCTGGTGCCTGATGCGCAAACCCTGAGGCGTAAACCCTTTGGCCTAATTTGCCCCATGCCCACACGTCTGATGCCGCACGGGCTTCTGCTGACATAAGCGTTGGCCTCCAGCTGCCATGTCAGCGTTTGAGTGCAGTGGGGATGCGGCGAGGGAGAGTGGAATGGGAGTGACGTGGGGAAGGCACCTTGGCACACGATGGCACGGACTGGCCTTCTGTTTTACCAAAAGGCAGGACACTTGCTGTGCTGTTGTGTGTGCGGATCACCAGATGATGGTTTTGCTTCTTGCTGCTCCATGGGATGCTGTTTGGATGCCGGCTGGACGGCGTCACTGCTGCCATGTAGGCAGGGGCTTGTTTCGTGTGAGGTGCCTGCTCTGCCTCTATGCTTGGCCTGATTTTCTTGGCTTTTCAAGCAAGTGCTGTTGCTGCTGCGCATGTATATCGGACCGTGCGATATTCAATAAATGCACGTTCCTTTGTTTCCTTTCTTGTGTTCATGGTGAAAGTGGATGGCCTTGCCCATCCTATCCATTTTAAAGAATGGTAGGCATTTTCAAGGATGAAGAGCTGACAAAAGTACTGTTAGAATGCACCACTACCAGTGTTCATAATCCTGGGTGTTGGATGCAGGATGCACTGTGTCGCAGTGTGGACCCTGGACGCAGAGGGACTTGTGCACTCCCAACGAAATTGCTTTGACATAGCATATCTGGCACGCTTTCTCTCATGTTCACATCATGTTATTCTGAAATATTTTTCATCCATAACTACAGCATGCAGATTCCACTACAGGCAAATTAGGCCTGGAACATGCAAAAAACTTGCTTCTGAGCACTACGTGGAAAACTAGGCTCAGAAACAATAGCTATGAATCCACCACATGCTGTTATCAGATGGAAACGATCCTATATATTGAAATAAATGGACGACTGCACTGGAGCTTACGGCTTGATCGTAAATAGAGGCTGCAAAACAAGCACATTGGGTTTCGAGGGTTGGGTCGGGTGGGGAAGGGATTGGTGGGAGAAGGAATATAGGTGGAGGGATAGGGAAGGGAGTTTGCGGGAAGTGGATGAGAGCGCATGAGAAACCACAAAAACGGATGACTAGGAAAAGAATCGGGGAGAACAGGGATGCCCTGTGCAAGAAAGCACACAAAATTTTGATCACACTGATACAGAGAATACAAGATGCCGGTACCAAGGGTGTGTGTGGGGCCTTACCGCGCCGACAGACACTGGTTTGCCGTCCTCCGCCAGAATAGCCACCACTGTGCCTGACTGATCCGCCTGCGTAGGGGAACCATTGGAGGGGAGGGGGAGGGGAAGGGGGGTGGGGGGGAAGGGGGAAAGAGGAATGCAGTCACTTTTGAGCTGAGACAACTCAATAGACACTGGCTTGCCGTCCTCCACCAGAATGGCCACCACCGTGCCTGACTGATCCGCCTGCACACAGGAAAGCATGGGGAGGGAGGGGCAGAGGGGGGGAGAGGTCAAATCGCCAGCCTCTCACACATTGAAACCACTGAATCGACTCCAATGCCTAACATATTCCTAGTCTAGCCAGTGCAGCAAATCACCCATGCAGGAATACACTTTCTAGTGCAGCGGATTCCTACGACTTCTCGTCCAGTTCTTTGCAACCATATTTTGTGTCAACTCAAAATGCGCCACGCACCTCGATTTCGTTCACGAGCTTCATGGCCTCCACGATGCACACCACTTGGGAGACGTTTGAGTCGACTTAAAATAATGCGACGATCAAGCCGACTCAGAAGGCAACAAGGAGGAATGCTTTCCCTTGTGACACACACTCGCACGCACGCACCTCGATCTCGTTCATGAGCTTCATGGCCTCCACGATGCACACCACTTGCCCCTTGGTCACCTTGTCCCCCACCTGCCATGCCATGCCACGCAGCCCATGCCATGCCATGGCAGTCATTTCAACCATCCCATGCGCCATGCCATGAAGACGCCATGCCATGCCCCATGCCAGATGCCATGCCATGCCATGGCAGTGAGATCAACCACCGCCCATGCGCCACGCCATGCAAGATGCCATGTCATGCCATGCCCCATCCCAGATGCCATGCCATGCCATCACCATCCCAAGTATAACAACACCAACACGGAAACATGCCACGAAAGAAAGCAACAACCACACGTTTGAGTGCAGAAGTAACTCAGGGTGGGGTTTGGGCAAAATCGAATGGGCAGGGAAAGGTGGGAGCAGCGACATAGACTATGATCGGAACGCGCCCAAAGGAACAAGCCTCTCCTTGACAAGGAGAAACCGCGCCTTGACCAGAGGAGACCACACACGCCTTGAACTAAGGGTCTCACCTTGAGGAAGGGGGGTTCGCCAGGGGCGGGGGAGGAGTAGAAGGTGCCCGCCATGGGGGAAACCATGGGCGGAAGCGCGGCGGGCGGAGGCGGCGCAGGGGCGGCGGGAGCAGCAGCGGGCTTGGCAGCAGGCGCGGGGGCGGCGGCGGGGGCGGGGGCGGGGGCTTCCGCGTATGGAAACGGCGGAAACATCTGAGGCGGAGGGAAGGCGGGGTAGGCGGGCGCGGCGGGCGCAGCGGGGGCGGCGGGCGCGGGGAGCGCCTCCTTCTTGCGGATGAGGATCTCAAACCCCCCCTGCTTGAGCTCCAGCTCCACGATATCGCGCGAATCCACCAGCCTGCGCGGAACGCGGACGGGCGGACGGGGGGGGGGGAGGGTTTAGGTTGGGAAAGAGAGCGAAGGGAGAGCAGCCGCATTGTGCCCGGCGAATACATTAGCTTGCGCTCAAACAAAGGTTAAGAGCGGTGGGGGATGGTGAAGGCGAGGGGAGGTCTGAGGGAGGGACGTGGAATGGAGGGGGACCCGCCTGCTTAAGAGCAGCAAAGTCGCGCAAAGTCACAAGCATGCGCAAAGGGAGTGGATTGTGGCGTGTGGGCAGGGGGCTGGCACGTGGGGGGAGAGGGACCGGGAAACAGAGCAGAGTCGCGCGGATTCGCGCCTGAGAGAAGGAGGAGCGTGCGGGGAGGGGGGAGAGCGCAGGGGGTTGGTGGGGAGGGAACCGACGGACAGGACGACGGAATTAAACGAGGCGAAAAAAAGAGATGGTGCGGGAACAGACGGCCTGGAATAAGAAAAGAGGAGCGATGAGAGAACACGGTGTTGACAGCGAAGCGCGACGAGGCGCAACGCGGACACGGGAGAAATTTAAGCGATGTGTGATTGCACGCACTTGATAAGGCTCGACACATCAGCAATGAACGCTGACGTGTCCGCGATCTCCGCCGCTGGCGCCTCCGACGCCGCAGCCGCCGCCGCCGTTGTCTGGAGCAAGGGGAGCGATTGAGGAAGAAAAAGGCAGACAGGTGGGACGACTATTCAAGGACGAAAGTGAAGATGGGGAAGAGACGGCTGCGGGTCAAAGGGTGTGGAAGAAGGCGGCGAGCCGCGCAGCTGGAGCCGATGGTGTTGGTGGATGGAAGAAGCAGCGAGGCACACGACAGAGAGCAACAAACGTGCAGCGTTTAGGTCTGTTCGAGCCTGCCTTCTAGCGTGCGTTCGGCCGTGCGTTTGGGCGTGCGTTCGAGCGTGAGTGTGCGACAGGGACGGGTGCACGCGTGACAGACTGGGAAGGCGAGCACGAGAAGCGAAGCGAAACGGCGATCGCGATGCGAGCGAGAGGTGTTTATAATGGCGAAAGAGTGTAGTCGGACGGTGGGGCGGGGCGGAAAAGTGGTGGGGTGGGGGGAAGGGGAAGAACGGGGAGTTGGCGAGGTTGGGGGAAAAGATCGTGGTGAGTGGGATGCAGCCGGAAGGATAAGGGGAAAGGGAGGGGGACAACGGGGAGTTGGAGGGAAGCGGAAGCAGCGAGAGTGGAGGGAAGCAGAAGCAGCGAGGCGGAACAGTCAGGTGCGCGGCAACACGGCGACACGAGTGCAGGCGGCTCACTTACGTTGTCAGCGGCGGCGCATCGAGTGACCCGTCGCGACGAAGCGCCGGCCTGCAAGAATTGCGGGGAGAAAAAGATGATGTGCTGTGACGGCGCCGTGATCGCGAGGTAATTGGGTGACGATGTAACAAGGTGAAGAGGCGCAGAAGTAAACAGGTGAACTTGAAGCAAGAAGGAAGGAAAACAAGTCGTCACCACGTTGTGAAGCCGATATTTCGACTGGCCATATCACACCCAGGTGCGGAATCTAGCTTATCCCCAAACGCTTGGCGGAACAGTACACGATTTCATGGCAAGCTTACTATTGACAGTCACTCGCAACGTCCCGCTCGAACGCGTGAGCATGCAGTGAAGAAGGAACGCGCAGGAGGCATGTCAAACATGCGAGAAAGCAGGACCCGAATCGTGGCGACGCTACCACTTTCCTACAATCATGAAGGCGCTTCAAGTTTGCGATCCCCCGCTGCCTCGCTACGCCAGGAGTTTATTGATAGCTTGCGTTACTGTTCAATCTCGAATTTACTTGACGCAAGTTTAGAGTTCTTAATGAGAGCCATCCCCGTACAGCACGGCGCAGCGAGGCGCAGTGAGGCACGGACCTGGAGAGAAGCCTTGGCGGCAGACACGACGCGAAGGGACTTCGTGGAGGCGCAGCTGGCGGAGGACAGAAGCTCCGCCGCGCGGTCGGCCTTGGCGGCTGCCTGCCAGGCGAACGCACCGAGCGTGCACGTGGTAGACGCTGCCATGGCGATAGTGGCTCGCAACTGAAACGTCAGAAAGAGGGTGCGAGGATCCGGTGGAAAAAAAAAACTACGGCTGACCAGATCACAATCGCCAACAGGAAAAATGAAAACTGGCTTGGTGTGTGTGGATCAGGGGGATGAGATTCCCAACAGACACCAGTGTGCTGTGCTTGTGTGGTGTGAATGGAGAAATCGAGGGATGAAATTGAATCGAGGCCAGGGGGGTGGCGGATGAACCGACGGATTGTGGCGGAAGCGGTTGCAGCAAGGGAATTGCCGCGGGGAGGCTATGGGGAGGGTGAATGTGATGGGATCGGATCGGAAGTAAGGGGGGATGAAGAGTGAGTGGCGGAGGCTGGTTTGACGGGGCGGAAAGGTTGTGAATGGGTGGTCGATGGCGCAAAGGTCTTATCGCCACGTCATTCATATCCATGCGACAGCGACAACCTATATTCATAAGAACGACATTATACGAAACAGCGATCGAAATTATTCTCGTTTGACATGTTTGACGAATAATGGGAATTCATGAAAGTGGTTACCTGCTGTTTCAGCCAATGGTTTGGCATCGGCGAGACGTCAGACACACTGATGGTGACCGTGTATCTCGTTGGTGATGTGGACAACCAGGTGGTTCTGCGATACAAGGACTTCCACCCAGTTACACTATTTTATGAAGAATAACAAAACCTACTATACAAAAAGGGTGGAACCTAGATTTTGATTTCATCCATCATGCATTATGTAGTGCAAAAAATATGAGGCAATGTTTAGGCAAAAAGGTGGCTCACATCAGTGCAAGAAAATGTAGAGTTAATCCTTGGACCCAACCCAACCCAATCCTTTACCCATTCATATCCAATCAGCACGAACACGAGAACATAATGTCCAATACATTTAGTGCATGCAGTAAATACAAAATACCACAATGATCCTTTTCATCTTCCAGGCATGCATTATTACAGATCTCCCTCCCCCCCAATAAAGGAGCTACATCAGTGTGTGGTAAAGAAAAGGACGGACGCGATTGCCGAGTCTAGATGACAGTAGCGGTCTTGCACTCGGTGTTGTTGGTCATGGAGTAGCTGTTGCCGTTGCCGAAGCGCAGCTCCTGCACGCAGGGGCGGAAGTCACTGGTCCACGCATACAAAATGTTGACCGTCTCCCCGGGGAGCATCTGCAGCGTGCCGGTAGCACCACGGTTCAAGCGCATCTCACAGTACCCCGGCGTGGTCTGCACAAAGATGTCGCCTGTCTGGTACTGCGTGGGTTTGAGCGCGGGGTTGTCGAGGATGCCCTCCCACACGTTGTTGAAGTTGAAGCACGCAAACACGCGCAGCGGGCTGGTGACGTTGTAGGCGCAGCCGTTGTAGAAGGTCATGTTGTAGATGTTGTTGTGCAGGTCGTACGGCCCGATGTACTACGACCGGATCGTCACCGTCGTGCGCCCGCACGCTGCAGGCCAGGGAGTAGGGGAGGAAAGAAATCAGAATAGTGTAAGGATTCCTTCTATCGTCACCGCCGTGCACCTGCAGGCTGCAAAGGAGGAAAGGGGTTGGGAGGGGGAAGGGGAGGGGAGGGGGAGAGTTGGGGGATAAATGTTAGGAAGGAAGTGAAAGGAAACGCTAGGAAAACCTAGCAGCAGTTAAAATAAGCCGGTGATCAGGGAAACAAGGAGAACAGGGAAGTGCTTCAACAGATTTAAGAGAAAGCATTGGTGTACTAGCAAGTGATGAGCTCGATGAAAGGAGAACGAAAACTGGGGCAGAATTTTGAGTGGGTGCAAAGGGACTCAAGTGGGTAACGAGAGAGAATGGGGAGGAGCAAGAGCGCGTACTGGTGGCGAGGGTCTGGCGGCGAGGGATGTGGTCGAGGTAGCCGGGCAGAGGGGCGTCGTGAGCAAAGGTCTCAGCCGCCAGAATGCGCCTGCCCCCCCCTGGCACCAGCGCCCTCGCTGCCTTCATCGCGTCCCGACCTGCACTCGCCGCCGTCGCCAGCAGCCCCACCGCCAGCGCTGCCAGCACCAGCACGCGGATTGCGCTCGCCATGAGGGCTTGCGAGTAAGAGGTGGGAAGAGCTGGAAGGCGGCTGGTAACGGCTGTTCAGAGAAGAGAGTGAGAAGAGCAGAGAGCTGCGGACTGGAGCTGATGAATTGGTGAGAGCCATGGCGGTGGCTTTATAGGTGAAGGTAGGAGGCGCGACGTGGACAGGCATGGTGAGGGGGAGGCGCTATGGAGAGGATCGCGCGTCGTTGGAGGGGAGGCGCGGAGGAGGATCTACCTCGAAGCCCGTGGAGTCTGAGGATTGCGAGGAGCTAATCGAGGCGCGATGCGATGGAGGAGGCGAGGCGTCGCAAGCGAGTCGCTTCCGCTTCGCGAATGCCCATGCCGTCAGTATTATCGCCACAAAAAGTGTAACTGTCATTGGACCAGTGGCAATGGAGGCTTGACAAACATGATAACTACTTTGGGTGCCTCCCGGGTAGGTTAGATGCAGCAAGAATGGGTGAATTTCCAGAAAAATCATCTGCCGGAATTGGGTCATGCAGCCGACAAAATCGCGAAGGAAAACAGCGACTCGATTTTCCCAACATCGAGTTAACGCGAAGAACTCGCGATCGCGGGTGGTTTAGCGAAACAACAGCGCTAACTACCTCCGTGGCCAGCTTCCCTTCCATAAGTGTCTGGTCCCCATGGTGAGCTCGACCTCATGTGTCCGTCTCTCTCCTGTCGCTGTGTTGTCGTTTGCTACCAAATGTCGGAGAAGCGGAGCTGCAGAAACGGTTAGACAGCTCCCTGCGTGTCTAACGACATCCAGCCTCCGCATCGCGAGGCTATCGTGCCCTAAATTCGACAAATCTCAGCAGACAGAGCTTGTCGGTTTCCCCAATAGTCCCCTACCAGCACACAACGCAAGAACAAAGAACAGAGGTGGAGGAAGATACAAGGCAGGCGATGTCGATCATTCCCAGACTCACCCAGAACCAATCTCTGGGTTTGGGAAGGCCGTTGGCGTTCGCTTGGAGCCGCTCGTGAAAGCGGTTATTACAGCTGATTGACGAAGTGAGCGAACGAGCTAAGCGTCGTTTTCCCGAAACTGAGTGATTGTGCGTGCTCGTGCGGCTTTGGCATTGAAGTTGGGTTACCGGATTCTAGTTTGGATCCAGAAGTTCGCCTGGTGTTTTCGAGGTCGTGTAACTGGAACCGCGACTGATAATTGCGGTTTGATCTGAGGAAAATATGGTGATACACTTTTTATTCTGAATCTTGCAAGTCCTTATTTCTTGCATGCGCTTAAATACGAAACCTTGAGTTCATTGGAAGAGGCTCAATTACTGCCATTTGGTCATATATTAAACTCCACTGGTACTAGGACGGCGCATTTTATCCTCGTATATTAACACCATCGGCATCAATGTGGAGCCTTACTTCCTGTCAAGCGATGCGCTCGATCACCCTCAGCTTGGCACTCCTGCTGCGTGCATTCACCCTCCACTCATCCTCCTCCGCCACCACCGGCCTCTTTGTCACAACCCGGTACCTCGCCTGCCCGTGCCCCTCCAAGCCACTGCTCCCTGCTTCCCCCACTGCTCCTGGAGCAGGCACAGGCACAGCCACCTTTACAGGCACAGGCATGGGCACAGGCATGGGCACGGGCACTGGCATGCCAGCAGCAGCTTCCAGGAAGCTTCGCTTCACAATGCGGTCCTCGAGCGAGTGGAATGAGATGACGGCGAGTCGGCCGCCCGGCGCCAGCAGGGAGAGGGCGGCGGGGATGGCGAGCGCCAGGGCGCCAAGCTCGTCATTTACCGCGATGCGCACAGCCTGGAAGGTGCGCGTGGCCGGGTGGATGCGTGGGCCGGGGCCTCCTCGACGGGAAGACGAGGCTGGAAGGGGGAGCGGGAGGGGATGTGTAGAGGCAGAACGGGATGTCCAGTAACCTCCCAGAATGGATGTGCAGGGGCAGGAATGGTTGTGCAACTGAAGGCAAGAGCGGATGTGTGGTGGGGGAATGTGGGCAATAGGAGATGAGCTGAGAAGAGAGGGGAAAGAATGGATTCACAGGTGAGATCCATGCACCAACCACGCCTACCTGCGGCCTCCTTAGCCCCGGACGCCCCGCCAGCCACAACAGCAGCGAGCTGAGTGGTGCTGCTGATGCAGCCTCTCCCCCCAGCCCCCACCACCCGCCACAGAATCAATTGCCACCGCCTCCCCTGTTCTGGGTTCGTTGCCTCCTGCCCTGGATCCCACCAGGCCTCAACGCATCTGCATATGTACATATTAGCACATGTGCACATCAACCATGCCTACCTGTACCCTTTTTAGGCCCAAACGCCCCTCCTGCAACAATCGCAGCAAGCTGCGTGGTGCTGCTGATGCGTCCTCTCCCCCGCGCCTCCACGATCCGCCGCGCAATCACCCGCCACCGCCGCTCCTCCCCCAGGTCCCTCAAGATCTGCCCTAGAACCTCCTCCGGCCAATCGTTGACCGCCACCTCAGCAGTGAGGGGGCTCTGGTGGCGGGGGGGAAGGGGGCATGGCCGGTACATGAGGAAGGGGAGTGGGGAGGAAGAGCTGAGATGGAAAAGAGGGAAGTGCGAGGCAGGAGCACACAAAACGATGAATGCACCGAGACACACATGCGCATGGATGACCATAGCCTATTCCTTGATCTCTTTGCGTGCACTTGCGCACGCGCAAACAGTGAGCAGCCATGCCTTGGCTCACCTGGGGGTCCATGCGCATGTCCAGCGGCCCTTCCCTCAGGAAGCTGAAGCCCCTCTCTGCCCTGTCGATCTGTGGGGAGTGCGGGGAGAGCAGCGCACAAGGGAGACGAGTTGTAAGGACAGAGGAGCGGGAGGAGTCAGAAGCCAGAAATCGCAGACAACACAAGGGAGAGACGGGGGAGGGCGGGGTGGGGGGGGACAACCCATCTCAAAGACAGAAGCCCTCGCCTGCGTCAGATATAACCCTAAACCCTCAGAAATGACCAGCCCCAGATACCACCTGCCCCAAATACCACCTGCACGAGAGCAAGCTTCCGTCGTGCAACCTTTCAGAGCGCCAAAGCCCACCATCATGTGCGTCAGAGGTTGCCCGATGGCATTTTGCTGGAGGAGACAGCGACGTCCAGCAACATGCCATCCACACAGCCACGCCCACACATGCCTCAGAGCAACCCGCACATGCATCAGATGATACAACCTGTATAAAAAACCACCTGCACCAAACCAGCCCTCACCAGGGGAGCCTGCCCACCTGCATGGAGGAGACCCCCACGTCCAGCAGAACGCCGTCCACACTGCCACGTGCCACTCCCACACCCGCACATGCCTCTGAGCAGCCATTACCTACCTGCCTCAGGTACCACCTGCACCAGAGTCACCTGCATGGAGGAGACCCCCCCACGTCCAGCAGAATGCCGTCCACACTGCCATCACCAGCACCAGATATTACCACCTGCCTCAGATCCCACCTGCTTCAGAGCAACCTTTCCCACCTGCTTCAGAGCAACCTTTCCCACCTGCATGGAGGAGACCCCCACGTCCAGCAGAAGACCGTTCACACTGCCATCACGTGCATCACATAGTACTACCTGCCTCAGATCTTAACTGCACTGCACCGAACCAGCCCTCACAAGAGCAACCCTCTTCACCTGCATGGAGGAGACCCCCACGTCCAGCAGAACACCGTCCACACTGCCTCGCGCCACTCCCACGCCCGCACACGCCTCCACCATCCGCCGGAAATTCCCCTCCACCACATGCAGCGTCGCTGCTGTGCCCGCCCTCTCCTCCTCCGCCACTCTCAATGTCGCTTCTGAATTCTCTGCTGCTCGCACTGTTGCTTGCCCGCGTGCCTCAGCCTGCCCGCGCTCCTCTACTGGCGCCGCTGCTTGGCCATGGGCATTGAGCGGACTGACTGCGTGTGTGCCTGAAATGGCAGCCTGTGCGCCTGGCGAGGCAGCGATGCGCAGGAAGGGGTGCAGGCGGGCGGCAGCGATGGTGTGTGCTGAGGGGTCCACGTCCATCCCCACTGCCGTTTGTAGCTCTGGATGGTGGCGGGCTAGCTGCTCATGTACATGCAGACCGTCGGGAGATGGTGAATGGAGGGGAGGTAGACACAATGAGGGCAGCAGCGATGGCGTGTGCTGCGGGGTCCACGTCCATTCCCACCACTGCTTGTAGCTCTGGATGGAGCCGGGCCAGCTGTCCACAGAGAGGGACCAGATGTGAGAATGGGAGACAGTAGAGGCAAGCAAGAGCAACATGTGATGGCGTGTGCTGAGGGATCCACGTCCATTCCCACCACTGTCCGTAGCTCTGGATGGTGGCGAGCTAGCTGTACAGGAGAGGACGGAAGGAAAGGGGAGGCAAGCGAGGGACGGGTTACGGCAGTGATAGCATGTGCTGCTGAGGGGTGGGTGCACGCCCATGCCCACCGCTGCCTGCAGCTCTGGATGGTTCCGGGCCAGCTTTCCACAGCGAGGGACCAGATGTGAGAATGGGAGACAGTAGAGGCAAGAGCTACATGTTGTGGCGTGTGGTGAGGGGTGCACGCCCATGCCCACCACCACCGCTTGTCACTCTGGGTGATGTTGGCATAGCTGCAGGGGAGAAGGGGAGAGGGTGGCAGATAGCGTTGTTTTGAAAATTCTCAAAAAAGCAGGCAGGGGAGTGAAGGGAGGAGGCAAGAGTAGGAGCGGTGGCGTGTGGTGAGGGGTGCACGCCCATGCTCACTGCACTGCCGCCTGCAGCTCTGGATGGTGGCAGGCCAGCTGCATGGGAGAAGGGGACCGTATGGGAGAAGGGGACCGTATGGGAGAAGGGGACCGTATGGGAGAAGGGGACCGTATGGGAGAAGGGGACCGTATGGGAGAAACGCGGAGACAAGGGAGGGAAGGGAAGGGGGTCTACAGCCATGCCCCTGCAATGGCATGCCATGATGCTCTGATGGTGGCGGGGCGCATGCAGGGGAGAAACGGGGGAAAAATTGAGAGGGAGTGGGAGTCAACAAAAGGCAAGGGGGTGAACTGGAGGAAGCATTATTAGCCTAACCGTGTGAATGTGAGGGAAAGGGTGCAGGGGGAGAGACAGTGCAGCAGGGGCGGAAACAATGGCCCTGCTTGACCATGAAGTCACACCTGTTATAATCACACCCATCACACCAGTTGTAGTCACATGCGTTACAGTCACACTCGTACGCAGCACTCACAGCGAGAGTGTGACCGCCTGTCCCCAGTGTGCCATCCACCAGTGTTGTCAACCGCACACCCTCAAACGCCCCCACCACCTCCCGAACCAACACCGGCACATGCGGCCACTCCCCCCCCTGTCTCCCCTCCGCGCCCAATCTCGCCTCCCCCTCTCCCCCCGCCTCCGCCCCTTCCGCCTCCGCCCCTCCGCCCACCCACCTCTCCGCCTCTGCATAGCTTACCCCCCTCCTCAGGCTCTCCCCGCTGCTTGCTTCCGCCCCCTCCCGCGCCCGCTCCTTCTCCTCCTCCCTCCGCCTCCTCCTCTTCTTCCGCCCTCCCGTCTCCTCCCCTCCCCCGCTCGCTTCCCCCTCGCTGCTACCGCCGCCGCCCTTATCCATCTCGTCTTCCCCAACTGCGTCTGTAGCGGCCCTTTCCCCTCCTTCATCCCCCTCCTCACACTCCCCCTCTTCCCCGTCCCCCTCTTCTTCCCCCTCTTCCTCTCCCCCTTTTCCCCCCTCACCCCCGCCTTCCGCCCGCGCTACCAGAGAAATCGCAGCACGCGACCACAGCCCCGCCAGCTGCGCGCCAATGCTCCCCGCGCATCCCGTCGGCGCACTTGTGCGCCTCAGCACCTCCCCTCGGGGGTCCGCGCGGGGATGCGCGCAAGAAGCGATCGTCCAGATACCCGCGGAGGGAGAGGCGGAAAGGCAGGGTGAGAGTCGTTGGGCGGCGCAAGAGGATGGGCGGAGAAAAGCGCGGGCTTTGGCGCAAAGAGAGGCGCGGGAGGAGATCAACGTGAAGAAATTAGGGGGAATGAGCGTGTTTGCGCCGCTGGTTCTGCTGACTTGGCTGACCCTGTTGACTTCGTTGACTCTGTTGGTGTCTCCATTCATTCTGTGAACGCTGTTGACCCCGTTGACTCCGTTGCCGTTGTTGGCCCCGTTGACCCCGTTGACTCTGTTGACTGTAGCTGCGACGGCCCGTCGGTCACGAGGAGGGAGCCACGGCCCCAGGCGGGCCCGGGGCGACGCGAGCGAGTGTGACAATGGCGAGGGGAGCGGAATGCGATCCATGGCGCTGGCCCGGCAGGCGAACGAGCGCATCTAGAAGGCGACTCGGCCCGTTGCGACTCGGTCCCTTGCGACTCCGTCCGTTCTAAGGCGGTGCGAACCTACTTAGCGAACACATTGCGCCATAGCCAATCGTGGACTGGTCCGAGTAGCTGATTGGCCCGGAGGATTTGAAGGGCGCTACGCAATGCTGTTGTAACGGAAACAAGAACCATTAGAACTTCATCCCATGCTCAATGGGGTTGTTCTGTACCTTACTGTATTTCTAGAGGCCTATGCTTGTCTCCAGCATGACAAGTACTTGCGGCCCCAGACTAGTAGTCATGCTTGAGACTAGCCCTTGGTTATTCTAGTCTGACAACAATGGCGCTTTCTGCCTATGGCACAAGAGATAATAGCATCTTCGGGTCAAACCCCTGAACCCTGGGATTATAAATTCTGTAATAGAGAAGCGTTGTATGGGCTATGCATTGCAAACTTCAGCGAATGCTCAGATAGTAATAGTTGCTATATTGGTTTTCTGGTCGACTTTATAGAGGGGAGTTCTTATGCACACCACGCCAGCCGCCAGCCACCTCACTTCGGCCAGCTAATACACTCCAACATTTCCGCACAAATAAACTTTCCATTTTCCCATTCCTTCTACGAGCCGCGCAATTCCCCTTTAACCGCATTCTCCGCCCCCCCGCGTCCTCCGTCTGCGGACCAACGCGCGCCCGTACGGCGCAGATAGCGCGGACTCCTTTCCGCCACTCCTAGTAGGACCGGTCACCTTCTCCCAAGTGATTCGCCCTTGTCGCCCTCTTCCCGATCGCTCTCATCGCTCTTGTCGCCCTCGTCGCCGTTGTCGCCTGTCGTCACGCTCGTCGCACGCAGCTGCCCGCGCACTCTCTCGGAAGCAGCGGTTTTTGCACGGAAGGCGGGGGGCATGGAGCAACCGTGACATAACTATTGAGGACTTCCTAGGTGCTTCATAAGGCGCTTCGGAGGTGGAAAAGGAAGAGATGGAGGAGGTGGCGGAGGATCCGCGCAGCGCAGCGGGAGGCGCGCCAGCGGCGGGGATGCTGCGCGATGCGCGCACGCCGCCGAAATCGTGGTCGGAGTTCGAGTCGCCGACGGCGCGGTGGGCGAATCCGTTCGTGCTGCGCGTGGGGCAGGTGTTCACGGGCTTCGGCGTGGGATGCGGCGTGGGTATCGGCGTCGGGCGGCCCGTGAACCTGGGTAGGAGCACTGGGATGGGCGCGCTGGGGTGGGCGCGCTGGGGTGGGCGCGCTGGGGTGGGCGCGCTGGGGTGGGCGCGCTGGGGTGGGCGCGCTGGGGTGGGCGCGCTGGGGTGGGCGCGCTGGGGTGGGCGCGCTGGGGTGGGCGCGCTGGAGTGGGCGCGCTGGAGTGGGCGCGCTGGGCGGACTGCAGTGGACGCACTTTTTGGGTCTCTGCCGTCTTTCTCTTTAGGGTCGCCCAAAACAACAAATCTTTCTCTTCCCTCCCTCTCTTCCGTCTCTGGCGTTTCTGTGATTTTTTCTCCCACCCCTATCACCAGGTGCATTGCCAGCAGCAGGGGAAGTGGCATCGATGGCGGGTGATTTTAACCGACTTGTTGAGACTTTATGTGTCTCTCCTATATGTGCTCCCCCCCCAACCCCCCACTATCACCGCCACCATCAGGCGCGTTACCAGCAGCAGGGGCGGTGGCATCAATGGCAGGTGATTTCAACCGACTCGCTGCGGGTGCTGCTGCTCCCCTCCGCCCACTCGTGAGCTTCCCACCCCTTCCGCACTCTCTTGAGCTCCTCTCCGCCCTCTGGCCAGCCTCCCTGCCCTTCCAGTCACCCGTTTATATGCCTTGTAACTCTGCTTCCTGCTTTCGGCTCTCCTTTTCGCCCCTCGCCCTCGCCCTCGCCCCTCCCTCTCTTCCTTAGTTCCCCGCTTGCAGCTGTGGCGTTTGGGGGCGTCTCCCATGCTGTGGCGGGGCATGTGGACGCACCTACACCCCCTCAGATCTCATTCCTGGCCCGGACACCATCCGAAGTTGGGACAGTTTGAGCACTTTTTGAATGCTGCACGCCTACTCCCCCTATTATAACCTGACCTAGAAACCATGCTACGAAATTCTGTAAGCATGGGAAATACACACGAACTTCTCAGCGATGTGAGTACACTGCACGCCACATGTGTCAATGACTAGAGTGAGCACAGCTGACTGAGTCCACCCAACAAATACTTAGAAACATGCTGGCTTCAGCGCAAGATTGGGTTCGAGTGAAATTCAAGCCTTTCAAACCCCAAGGTAGCTTTGTCTTTAGGCCTTCTGTCGAAAACAAATATAAAAACAGCTCAAAGTGTCCCAACTTCGGATGGTGTCCGGGCCAGGAATGAGACCTCACTCTCAATTTCTACCCTCGCTCTCAACCAACTCTCTCCCCCTCTCTCCCTTCTCCCCTCCCCCTACTACCTTATGTAATTGAGGCATTTCTGCTGCATGTGGATGTGGGCGTGGGAAGCAGAGTGGGCGGATAATCCACCCCACCTCACAACTCTCAGCGTCCCACGCCCACTCTGCGTCCCACGCCCACTCTGCGCCCCACGCCCACTCGCTGAGAGTGGATTTTTCCACTCTCAGCGTCCCTAACTCTCATACACTCTTCACTCTCTTCCACTCCTCCTTTTACCGCTCCCCTCTTCCTCTTCATGGCAGCTGAGGCGGATGGGAGTGCTGCATGTGGACGTGGGTGTGGGGTGTGGAGTGGGTTTCGGTCATGGCTTTGGTGCTGGCATTGCCCTCAAGCCACAAGTCCTTGCATCCCTGCTTCAGTCCGCTCAGGTACGGCTTGGTATGGCGTGGTATGGCTTTAGCGTTAGTGTGTTGCTCTCAAGCCACAATTTCTGGCATCGGTGCTGCTGTGCTGTCTCCTCGATTAACGTGCTGCACTCTTTCCATTTAAGGCAGGCATTGATCTCAAGCCACAAGTTCATGCCACAGTCTGCACAGGTATGGCAGGGCAGTGGTATGGCATGGTGTGGCATTCTTTGGCATGGTGTGTCATTTTCAGGCATGGTGTTTCAAGGTGTGGCATGATGCCGCTTGGCGTGGACGGGTGTGGCACAATGTGACATGGTTTAGCACGGTGTGGCATGGTATGTCATGATAATGCATGGTGTTTTATGGTGTTGCATGGTATGTCATGATAATGCATGGTGTTTTATGGTGTTGCATGGTATGTCATGATAATGCATGGTGTTTTATGGTGTTGCATGGCATGTCATGATAATGCATGGTGTTTTATGGTGTTGCATGGTATGTCATGATAATGCATGGTGTTTTATGGTGTTGCATGGTATGTCATGATAATGCATGGTGTTTTATGGTGTTGCATGGCATGTCATGATAATGCATGGTGTTTTATGGTGTTGCATGGTGTGACATGCTTGGCATGGTGTGGTATGGAGTAGTATGGTTTCTTTATGTCAAGATAGAGCTTAGAAGTCTGTTTAATTGCTGTATGAGGTGACTTTTGGTGTGCCTCACAAGTTGTGCTGGTGGTTGAGTGGTACAATTCTTTTGACACGACTTTTTTTTTTTTTTTTCCGAATTGAATGAACGCGGAGGTAAAAAGGGTGTAAGTTTTTCCTTGGTAAGGTGTAGAGAGGGAAGGGAGGGTGAAGGATAGGAGGTGGAACAAAGTTAATGAAAGAAGGAAGGAAGAGTCTCAAGCAATCAAGTAGAAGTACTGGCTGGTTGTTGTCTCTCATTTCGTCTTGCAACGCCGCTGTTCAAGGGCATGTGCTGCAAGAGTTAGAATGTGATTCTGAACATGCATGGAGACTCCTGAAGCACATGCCCTTTAACCGCGATGTTGTGAGGCTAACCGAAGGGCAACAGTCTCCTCTTGCTTCTATTTGACAGTATAATACTCTTCCATTCCCTCCTCTTGCATCTCTTCTTCCACCTCCTATCACTCCGCATCTCCTTCCCCCTCTTCTCCTTCCTCGGGAGAATCTGCATCTCTTCTAACATCTCAAGCTTCCTGATTTTCTGTACTCCTGATTTCTGACTTTCTTCCTTGTGAGTGTTCTAGACTGATTGATTAAAAAAGCTACAAACAAGTGTGAGATCCCGAACGCCGCATGTTGTTGCAACTTTGTTGCAAACATGTTGCTAGTCAAAACGATCCGAAGACCCTTGGCTATGGATGTTAAGTCGATGACAGACAGAACAAGGTGGGGCTTTTTCCTTGTTTGTTCACCGTATTGTCTTTATTTATGCCTCAACACCAAGTGCGTTCTCGCTCTCTTTCCCTCTGCCCTTCCGGCCATCCTTTCAGGCCATGGTATCTCGCCTCATCTCACACATCCCTGAAGAGCATCGCTCCCATGCCACCGCAGCTCTCAGTAGCTCCATGCCTGCACTTGGCAACTCCACACCAGCACTTAGCAACTCCACACCAGCACTTAGCAACTCCACACCAGCACTTAGCAACTCCACACCAGCACTTAGCAACTCCACACCAGGACTTGGCAATTCCATACCAGCACTTGGCAACTCCGTGCCAGCACTCATCAGTGCAGCAGAAAAGAGAAGGGAGGGGCACGGAACAGGGTTAGCCATGCCAGGGTCAGAACGAACAAGCTACTCCAGTGCCACAAACCCCGATGCTGGTGGTGCTTACTTGCCAGATGTAAGTCTGTGCGACTTGGTGTGCAACCGACCTCCTATCAGGTTGCCTTCATTATCGTCTTCCTCCTCCATCTCCACATGGTCCACTTCTCTGCATCACTTTTTCAGTGTCCCTCCTCTTTATCTTCCAGTTTGGAAGCTTCCTTGATAACTTGGACCTCTTCTCACCATCTTGTTTTTTTTTTTTTTTTTTTTTTTTTTTTTTTTTTTTTTTTTTTTTTTTTTTAACGTGTTTTCTTCCAGTATTCTTATCCTCCTATGTGTTTCTTCCCATTATCGCCCTGCCATGTGCCTCATCTGCTCTCACTGCCCTTCGAGTATTCCTCCTTCCTATTCCCTCTTTGGTTGCTCCCTTGAAAATCGGAGCCGTTCTTGCTGTCTTGCTGTCTTGCTTGTTTGTTTGTGTTTGAAATCCACGAGTCACAGCTCTTGGAGTATTCTATTCCTCCCATGTCATTCTTCCTATCTTTGCCCTGCCATATGCCTCATCTACTCGCTCCGCACTCCAATGCAGTCATCCACTCACCGTCATCCCCTGTTCTCCCATGCAGATGGATCAAACCAAGGCACAGAACCTCATCATGCTATCCGTAAGTGCACATGAAACACAAATGGTACCTCATAAGCATGTGTCTTCTTCATACCAAGGCACAGAACCTCATCGTGCTATCTGTGAGCGGACATGAAACACAGCACATGTCCCATAAGCATGCATGTTACACAGCTCAAATGCCGACCTGGGCTTTCAAATGAGCAGTGCCTCTCTGTTGTGCCATGGGAAGAATGCATGCCTTTGTCGTGCTCTTGTCCTGCCATTTGCCTTGTCACTTATCATGCTCCCTGTCATGTCGTTTGCCTTGTCACTTATCATGCTCCCTGTCATGTCGTTTGCCTTGTCACTTATCATGCTCCCTGTTGTATTGTTTATCTCCTCATTTTATCATCCCTGTCATGTCATTATCACGCCCCAATCACAGCTTCTGGAGCAGCAGGCCGACATTCGTCGCCTCACTCAACAGGTGCAAGCACTGCAGGAGCAAGAAAACCGAGGGGGCACAAAAGCCCGGTGTTTTGACTGTCGCCAAAGATCAAGGCGGCGAACAAAAGGTGACAAGTGAAGGGACGCTTCCAAAGAATCAGTACGTTTATGTATTGAAATGTTGGAATATTTACGAACAAACACGCCCGCTGCAGCCAGTTTGATGCTGCTTCTGTCGGAGATTAACTGTGGATGTTGTTGACAAACAGTCAGCGTGTGGCAGATGTATCATACTATTTCCAGTTAATTTAGGGCAGGAATTTTGGTGGTTGCGGTCATGTATTCCTTGCAATGATTGTTGCATGTTGTGTGTGTGTCTGTATGTGTAACATGCTATTAGCAAACAGCATCATTTTATCAACACTTCTGCACTTCCCCACCTTGATTGATACAGGCGAACTTATCTTCAATGTCACAGCTTCGCGAGCATCGCAAGAACCGTTGCCGACTGTGAATTCGTTCGCACGATTTTCGCATGTTACCCGCATAGCTGAAATAACCGTTTCGCGAGCGCCCCCAAAAGAACAACAGCCTTCCCAAAGAGCAGATTCCTACAGGAGGATTCCTACAGATCCCTAAGGGCGTTCGACAATTTCCTTCTTGCGGTTGCTTTTTCCTTGGCTAGTATTCCGCTTCTTCCTCCTCCTGCGTTCCATGCGGTCGGAGACCATCCGACAAGCTCAGTCAGCTGCGATTTGTCTAGTAGCAGATTCGGCAGTCTTGCGATTTGGTTGCAAATAATCATGCTGCACGCGACGCGGAGTCTGCATGTCGTTAGACATGCAGGGAGCTGTCTAGTAACCGTCTCTGCAGCTCCGCTTGTCCGACATTTGCTGTCAAACAAGGACATACCCATGGAGGGATGACGACGGACGAGAGAGGTTGGGCTTACCCAGAATCGAGGGAGGCTGATCAGGGTGGTAGTTAGCGTCGTCATTTCGCTTAACTACCAACGATTGCGATTTTTTTGGCATGGATCACGGTTGGGATTTCAAGTCGTCCTTTCCTTTCGCGTTCTCGTCCTCTAAATGACGGTTGGGGTCAAACAACTCGCTCAGGCAGTTCCTAACTGTCGCTGCATCTATTTACCCAGGAGTCATTCGAAGTAGTTTGACTTGTTCATCGAGCCGCATAATCCGCGTTCAACGGCGACTGGTCACACCAGTTACATTCTTCATAGCGATGATACCGACGACAGCGGAATTTGCGAAGTGACTGCGACGAATCCCGTCGCATTCGTCGTCGCCTCGCTTCTCTCGCCGACTCCTCACCTCCTCTCTGGTATAGCGCTTCGGGAGTAGTTTATCGAGTTCCCCCCGATTCCTCGACCGCCGACCTAGACCCTCCTCCACGCTACCCATCCAACGACGCGCCATCCTCTCCTTACCGCCTCCCCCTCAGCATGCCTCTTCACGTCTCGCCTCCTACCTTCACCTATAAAGCCATCGCCATGGCTCTCACCAATTCATCAGCATCAATCCGCAGCTCTCTGCTCTTCTCACTCTCTTCTAAGTCTCACAAACTCTCTCGCAAGCCCTCATGGCGAGCGCAATGCGCGTGCTGCTGCTGGCAGCGCTGGCGGTGGGGCTGCTGGCGACGGCAGCGAGTGCAGGTCGGGACGCGATGAAGGCAGCGAGGGCGCTGGTGCCAGGGGGGGGCAGGCGCATTCTGGCGGCTGAGACCTTCGCTCACGACGCCCCTCTGCCCGGCTACCTCGACCACATCCCCCGCCGCCAGACCCTCGCCACCAGTACGCGCTGCTTGCTGCTCCCTCCTCTCCCCTCTCATTTCTCTGCTCCCTTCTCATTTCTCTGCTCCCCTTGCCTTTCCTTCCTCTTCTCCTCGTGCCTCTCCCTTATCTGCTCCGCATAGCTCTGATTTCGTTGCTCCTTTTTATATCGGCACACAATGGTGACAATCTAGTTCCTTAAATTCCATCTCTTTTCCTCCCCCACTCCCTTGTGGGCTACAGCATGTGGCCCCACGTCTGTGACAATCGGAATCCTTACATTTTTCTGTGTCTTTTCCTGCCCACTACTCCCTGGCGTGCAGCGTGCGGGCCCACGACGGTGACGATCCACTCGCAGTACATCGGGCCATCGACCTGACCTCACTCCTGCCCCCTCCCTCCCCATTTCCAGCGTGCGGGCGCACGACGGTGACGATCCGGTCGCAGTACATCGGGCCGTACGACCTGCACAACAACATCTACAACATGACCTTCTACAACGGCTGCGCCTACAACGTCACCAGCCCGCTGCGTGTGTATGCGTGCTTCAACTTCAACAACATCTGGGAGGGCATCCTCGACAACCCCGCACCCAACCCCACGCAGTACCAGACAGGCGACATCTTTGTGCAGACCTCGCCGGGGTACTGTGAGATGCGCTTGAACCGCGGTGCTACCGGCACGCTGCAGATGCTCCCCGGGGAGACGGTCAACATTTTGTATGCGTGGACCAGTGACTTCCGCCCCTGCGTGCAGGAGCTGCGCTTCGGCAACGGCAACAGCTACTCCATGACCAACAACACCGAGTGCAAGACCGCTACTGTCATTTGAGTGACCAACACACCCCCCATGCCGGACTGTGCAAGGCATCTACACTCCGCCATGGCTCTTGGCTTGGCTCGGTTGAATTGTGATGCTTTTCTGCTGCTGCTCTTGCTGCGTTCGCCTCCTGCTGGTGTAGCTCTTCGCATTTCCGTTGGGGATAGGCAATAATGCATGTCTGGTTGTGAAAGAGGGGCGGTACCTGTAGCACAGCCCTCCAGGCTTTTGATGTGCATGTAAAGTACCTACTACTGAAACATTTTTCCTCCCTGTGTCATGTGAGTGAACTCCTACGAGATGGGATGCCTCTCTTTGTTGCGCATTACCGTAGTTGCTCTTGTTGCTCTCTGCCATCGTGCCTTCGAACTGCTGCTCGGTATTCAGTGGCTACAGTTTACTCTGCTGCATTCTTTGTCTCAGGATGGTGCGGGGGAGGGGGAAAGGTAGGGAGGGTGGGACGGAAATCTACGGTAAGAGAGACAAATCTATTTGTTTACAGGCATGGTACCGTACATGCCTAGGTACGTGTGTGTGTGTGCGCATGCATAAGTACTGTTATGTCGGTCTGTCTGTGTGGGCATGCGTGTGAACTCATTCTCTAAAGAGGACACATCAATAAGAAATGCTTAGTTATACAAATAAATTAGCATTGAACAAGAGGATATGTTCCCAGCTCAGAAAAGCACACCCACCCAACCTAGCCCCACACGACCACACCACATCTGCAGTCACTTATTGTAAAAAAGACACCCTGACAAGAGACCCTAATTTGTAACAAACATAATACGGTAATCCCAATCCCACAGCTACGCAACACAAGCTCATTCTGTCAAAACACAAGGGCCTCTCATCCGCCGTCTGTTCCAAGTACGGTACTACCGACACATTCAGAGACCTCACAACAGTGAAGGCAGGCACCCTCACAACAGTGCAGGCGAGTGTATGGCGCCTTGGACCGAACTGCAGATGCAGTGACACCCCCCAACCCCATGCCATGCCATGCCACCATCACCCCTGTCAAAAGCGCCTCCTCTTGATCCTGCTCAAAGCAACTGAAGTAAGCCCACCAGGCGTAAGGTGGCATGCAGCTGCTTCTCGTCTGTCAGTTTTGGCCCCAAGCAGTCAAGGCCAACTTTTGCGGCATGCAGCAGCAGCTTATCTGTCACCTTCAGAGTAAACCCATCAAAGGCCGATCGACGTTTGAGGCGCCTCGCAAGGCGTGCAGCTGCTTCGTGTCTCCCAGCTTCAGCATGAACCCATCCCCAAACGGCCAAGGCCGAAGTCCAAGCCCATACAGTCAATACCCCCATCCCCGTCCCAAACCCTTCTGTTGAACCCGCGAAAATCAGTTCCAGTGAGCGGCACGCCCGCCCAAAGCAGTTATAGATGGTGGCGTACAGCTGCTCTTCATTGATAGGATTGGGCACCAACCCATCCATGCATGCTCGCGTCCTCACACCAGTCCCATGCAGTCATCACACCCCCGGGCAGTCGTCCACTTAATTCCACCCAAACCCCCTTCCCCTAAGCCCGGCCGAAGCAGTTCCACAGGGTGGTGTGCAGCTGCTCCTCATTGATGGGCTTCGGCACGAACCCATTCATGCCCGCCTCCTCTCCTCCCTCAACCAACCACACCCATGCCCATGCCCATACCCCCGAGAAGATTAAGTTACGCCCGGCCGAAGCAGTTCCAGAGAGTGGCGTGCAGCTGTTCCTCATCAATGGGCTTGGGCACGAACCCATCCATGCCCGCCTCCTCACAGCGCGTGCGACTGCCACTGATGACGTCAGCTGTCATGGCCAGGATGGGGATCGCTGCTGCCCCGCTCTCCCTCTCCCTCCGCCGGATCGACCGTGTTGTCTCGTAGCTGCAGAGCAGATAACACGGGTGGGAGGAAAGGGAGATGGAGATGTAAACCGAGTCACAAGCTTGCTCAGTGCCCATTCATTAGCTCTCACCCATGATTGCATACTCACCGTGACCCATCCATCCACACTCTACTCACCCATCCGCATCATGCTCAACTGTGCTGCAGTCAAAAGTACCGCACTCAACCGCACTGCACTCACCCGTCCATGCCGGGCATCTGCACGTCCATGAAGATGGCGTCAAACGACTGCCCTCTCCCCTCCGCATCCTGCACGGCCTGCAGCGCCGCCATGCCACTTGTCACCCACCACTGCATCCCCACTCACCCATCTGCACCGCATTCAACCCCACAGCACTCAACGTCACTGCACTCAACCGCACTGCACTCACCCGTCCATGCCGGGCATCTGCACGTCCATGAAGATGGCGTCAAACGGCTGCCCTCTCCCCTCAGCGTCCTGCACGGCCTGCAGCGCCGCCATGCCGCTGTCCACCGCCTCACAGAGCACCCCGTAGCGCTGCAGCATGCGCGTTGCCACCTTCTGGTTCACCACGTTGTCGTCCACCACCTGAGGTGCGGGAGAGAGATGGAGAGGTGCGGAGAGGGGTGGAGAGGGGTTCATCGGTGTCCTGCACGGCCTGCAGCGCCGCCATGCCGCTGTCCACCGCCTCACAGAGCACCCCGTAGCGCTGCAGCATGCGCGTTGCCACCTTCTGGTTCACCACATTGTCGTCCACCACCTGAGATAGGAGAGAACGGTGAAGAGAGGTGGAGAAGGGTGTGGTTGAGTTGAAGTGACAAGGCCTTAGGATGCGCGTTGCCACCTTCTGATTCACCACGTTGTCGTCCACGACCTGGTGTTGGAAGGGGTGAAGAGGAGTGGAGAGGAATGGAGAGGAGGTCAGGTACGGTTGAAGGGATACGGCCTCGCACAGCACGCTGTAGCGCTGGAAAAAGCGTGTCGCCACGTTTCGATTCACCATTGTCGTCCACCACCGGAGATGAAAATCGTGAAGAGGGATGGAGAGGGGTGAAGAGGGGTGTGGTTGATGCACCAAGGCCTCACACAACACTCCGTAGTTCTGCAACATGCGCATCGCCACCTTCTGTTTTACCACGTTGTCGTCCACCACCTGGAGTTAGACGAGTGGAGGGGGATGGAGAGGGGCGGAGAGGTGGGGTCATGGCAAGGAATAGCGACAGTGTGGGGCGAAGAGGGACGAGACAGGTTATGAGCTATGACAAAACACTCACAGTTATGCGCCCACATCAGTCAGGGTTTTCCTCCCCACCCCAAGTTGGTCCTCTCGAAACGACAAGTCTCAACCCCGAAAGCAAAAACCCCATCCCACCCCTCCTGCCACTCACGAGAATGCGGCGGCCACCAATGAGAGCCTGCATGGCCTTGCGGCGCTGCTGCTTCTGCGTGTTGCTGCTGCGACTCGTCGTCATTATGCCCAGCACCTGGTGGGGACAGGGGGAAAGGAGGGGAGGGAGAGATAAGTGTAAGGGAGAGAAAGCAGGGATGGGGCCACCATGAGCAATGTAAAACAAGTAACACCTGCCCCAGCTTACACTTGCACTGGGTTGATAACATCACCCCCAGTTTCCACCTGAACTGGACAGACAGCCAAAATGGACTTGTGTAGTGGCATGAGCAGCACCTGTTACAAGGTAACACCTCCCCCAGCTCTCACCTGCACCAGGCACGCAGCTACGATGGACTTGCGCAGCAGCTTGAGCAACCTTTCCTCGAAGCCGCACGCCTCCACCTCGCCCTTCTCATCCGCCTCCAGCCAACAGCACCTGCTCACCAAGCTCTCACTCACCTGCGCTTTGGTCTAGGATCTCACCTGAACCAGGCACGCAGCAACAATGGACTTGCGAAGGGGCTTCAAAAGCCTCTCCTCGAAGCCGCACGCCTCCACCTCGCCCTTCTCATCCGCCTCCAACCGACACGCCACCAGAATCAGTGGCGGCTGCTTGCGCGCCTTGCTGCCGGCACCACCAGCACCATTGGCAGCACCCGCCTCTGCCTCTCCACCCTCCTCCTGAATCGTCTCCCCCGCACTCCTCTCCCCCGCGCCCCTCTCCCCGGCCGCCTTCTCCGCAGCAGCAAACGCCTCTCGGATGGCCCGAGCCACCTGGAAGCCCGTCTTGGGGCCAAACGCGTCTTTATCCACAAAGATCGCATCCCACGGCCGAATATCATCCTCAAACGTGGTTGACCCAGGCAGGGGCGGGCCGCGCAGGAACCCCCGCGTGGCAATCGCAGGGACAGACGCCGCGTCAGTGGCCGGGATTGGAGTAATCCCGAGGCGGGATAAGACGCTGCTCGCCACTCGCTGCCGAACCTGCAGCCCGTCCACCACCAGCACGGCTCGGTTGAGGAATTTCTCAATCATGGCGGCAGCATCGGGATCGTCGTCCAGCATCGGGAGGAGGTCCGGCGGGAGCGAGGTGGGGACGGAGCGGGGGATGCGTGGTGGCATGAGGCCGAGATTGACTGTGAGGACGAAGGTGGTGCCCACGCCTGGCTCGCTCACGAAGGTCATGTCTCCCCCCATCAGCTTCACGAGGCGCTTTGAGATGGTGAGACCGATACCCGTGCCTCCGTGCGTGCGCGCCGTGCTGCTCTCCGCCTGCAGGAAGGGGGGTTGGGGGTTTCAAAGGAAGGGGAGGGAAGAGGGGAAGAAGGGGAGTGGAAGAATAGGGGGTATGAGCATGGGGATGCGCGGCGGCATGAGGCCAAGGTTGACTGTGAGGACGAAGGTGGTGCCCACGCCTGGCTCGCTCACAAACGTCATGTCGCCCCCCATCAGCTTCACCAGGCGCTTTGAAATGGTCAGGCCGATGCCCGTGCCTCCGTGCGTGCGTGCCGTGCTGCTCTCAGCCTGGAAGGGAAAGGGGATGGGTGAAGGAAGGGGGAGGTGGGGGAAGACGATGCGAAAGGAGAGGCGAGGTGGAGATGGGAGATGTGCTCTTGTGATGGGTGGATGGGGGAAACAAAGATGAGATGTACGTGTGTGAATGTCAATCTGAGCATGGGCCAGTAGTGGGCTATTTCACCTGTGAGGCCATGCATTCCTGCATACAGGGCACACTGCTTCAGGGTGCGGTTACCACGGCCAACCGCCA